TGGCGATGTAAAAAGTAGTTGCAGGGCGGAGGGCTGAGTCTCCCGGCGCTGTGAAATACTTCCAAAGCCCGTAGACATGTCACTATATCCTGTACCCTTACAATGTCAAAGCATAATGCTGGTTCCTTCACCAACCTGTAGATCCTGAGCTTGTCTTGATTTTAATCCAGGAAATAAAGCCCCTAGGCCCCAGGGGCCACCCTGACACAATCTGCCAGAGCTCATGTCTCAGCTTCCAAGAAGACGCAACCCGACCTCACTATCCGGCACCCCAGGCAGGACTGCATGAAGCTGCCCAGGCGTGGCCTCCTCAGCCTGGAGCAGGGTTGGGTTTTCTCGTATTGTTTAAACATTACAGCTTAAACGCCGGAATGTTGAAACAAACTGGCCCCCTCCCCAGCTGCAAGTGTTTAGTTTAAATGCCCTTTAACCGCCAAACGGTTCACACAAACAAACGTTTAACACACGCACACACACACACGTTTAAACATGTCTACACTAAACTGCACCATACGGACACTTTGGCAAAAATGCCTCAGGAGTGCCGCCCATACGTTGAGTTGCGTTCCAAAACCACTCAAACCTGTCAACCGTTTAGACGCTTACAACACCTTGCTTCTCATGCCTCAACACATGCTGCTCAAACGTTTAAACGTTTAAACCGTCTAAGCGCCTACAACATCGTGCTCATTCCTTCACACGCGCTGCTCCAGTGTTTTGACCGTTTGAATGTTTAAACCGGTTAAACGCTTACAACATCCTGCCTCGCATTCCCTCGGAAGTGCTGCTCCAACGTTTAAACCAGTAAAACGTGTAACATATGAAACGCTTAACACATCCTGCCTCCGAGCTTCAAGCCGTTTAAACGATTAAACCGTTTAAACGTTCAACACACCTTCAGAAGCGCTGCTCCAACGTCAAAGCCGTTTAAACGTGTTTTTAGACTGGTTAAACGCTTTATGCTGAAGCGTTAAAAACCGTTTGACCCTTTGAATAAGCACTCAAAGCTGCCACAGGTCCAACGCAGTGCCCGAGCACACCCGAAATCCATGTACCGAAAGTTGATCCTGGTAGCGCGTGTGCTGTCCGAGAACACACAAAGAAGTACTGCAAGTAGCCACACAGACAGATGTTGTAACAATCGGCACCCGCGAAATTTTGACGCATGCTCCAATGCGCGAACCCGGAACGTTTAAACATGTTCAAACATGCCGAACCCCGACCTCTGTTTGAACGCTTCAGACCCAAGAAATGCTTATACGTTCCAGCTCCAAACGTGATTTGCCCATCCCTGGCCTGGTTGACAGACTTCTTCGGGCCTGCAGAGTGGACTTTCACGGAGACTTCGTCGGGCTCCGGCATGGGCTCCTGCAAAAACTCCTGCAGTGGCTCGTTTTTGCCTTCCAGCCACCTGCATTCGATCTTGTTCTTCACACGTTGGCTGCAGAGGGCTAGCGACGCCATCGTGCCCATGGCCAAGGCAGTGGTGAAAGGCAGTATGGCCAAGTCTTGCAACAAGCTTACCCCAGTGCTCTGTAACCAGCTGTTGGCATCCTCAAGTCGCACGTTCGCCAAGAAGGTCATGACAAAAAGCAGGCACATAGACGAGTACAGCAGCCAGATCGTCCAGAAGAAGAATGTCCTGCATGCTAAATTCCAGAAGTCTGGGTTTTGAGGAAAAGTTCATTTCTGAAACGGAAGTTACGCTTTCACAACTCGGACCAGCCAGGCGAAACGGAAGTTAAGGTTTGTCAATTGGCACAATCCGGGAATATGGGCACTGATCAACGCACTTGGAGAATCAAGGACAACAAGCATGAAGCCCGTATTGCAGAATTGTGCAACCGCCACCAGACCAATTGTAGCTGTGAAACCCAAAACACTGTATGACCGGAGCCCGCCGCAGGATCGAGTAAAAGGATGAACAAAAAATATGGCTGAATTGGCGGTTTTCACATGCAGGGCGTTCGACGAAGCCGAGCTGCTCCTCCGAGATTTTTTGCGCACGGCATGTCATCTTTTCCGGTATGTAAGCATCTTCACAGGTTGCACTTACACATTCTGCAGACCGCTGCGTGCGTGACCGGCCGTGGTTCCAAAGAACGGCTTGCAGGCCGATTTTTAGAAAAAAAACTTCAAAATGGTATTCCCACGACCCTTCCAGGATGGTTCTATTCGGAGTCTCGTGGCGCGAACTAGCTGAAAGAGATGATGCCAATGACAAAGGTCTCAAGGAGATCTCAAAATCAACATGGCCTCGTTTCAGAGTCCACCGGTGATGAAGCCCATGAATCTTATTCCCGCAATGAAGCTCAGGACTTGTCGGTTCGCAGCCCAGTACCGAACAAGAACTGTAAAGGATTCGAAAGGCTTTCTAAGCACCATGCATAGCAGGAAGACACAAAAGTTGAAAGCTCTTTTTCTCGTACTGTGGCAGTCTCTACAACACAATGGACACTGAGGGTTTGTCGGTTCGAAGTCCGGCGCCGAAACATCGTTGAAAATCGTGGTAGAAATTTTGGTTCGGAGTCCCGAAACGAAAACGCTAACTCTTGAAGCTCATGTCGAAGAAGAGCCTGTCACAATTTTTTCAATTCGGAACAAGGTGGAACAATCCCTGCAACACAAAGGGTACTGCAGGATTTTCAATTCTCCGCCTGACCCAGCAACAAAAAGCTTCAACTCATTTTTCAGACTTTAGGGGTTAGTCGTGTCGGAACGAGAAAACCCTAACGTCTCAATTTCAAAACTGACTTTAAGGCTTCTTGTCGGTTGAGCATGCCGTGGTATAGGCGAGGGACGTATTTGATACATGGGTTTCGTGACAACAAGGTGGAACATTGTGTTCCTGACTTGCTTCATTGTTCTGAATCATGCTCATTTCAGTGACTTTCCCAAAACAAACGGAACAACACACAAGCTTTTGCGTATAATAGAAATATATATATGTGTGTGTATGTATGTATGTATGTATGTATGTATGTATGTATGTATGTATGATAAATACACACACACATATACCCGCCATCAAGCCACTACATACTATTGGCTGTTGACATGCGGACCGGTTCGCTGTCAGACGCGCTCACATGGAGTCCGTTACGCAGTAACAGCGAACCTCAAACAATCACATGGCACACACCAATGTTTGCGCTCGATTTCTGCGGAACTACGCTCAGCTGCACTTTGTCTTAAACTAACTTTGAAACAGCCTCAAGTTCCCTTCCGGAATTAGAGAACTTGAACCAGTGTGAAATGTAGCAGTCCTGCATCGCCAAACTGAAATCTGCCGAGCCATTGACCTCTCCGTCCACTCATGCTTCACGATGGGCTTGCGAATTTGCAGGAGAAACAGAGTGAATACGGCGCAGTCGCCAAGACATGCGGAAATTAGGCCAACCGTCAGGTTGCGAGTCAACCTCGCAAGAAATTCCTTCGGCGCGCACGCAGGATCACTGCCCGAGGGCAGGGCAGAGCTGGTGAAGAACAAGGCGTTCGCGAAGGCTGCGGTGCAGATCTTCAAGTAGATCAAAGAGACACGGACCTTGTAGGACGTCAAAATGCTGAGGCGCAAGAGTGCAATCCATGGGTGGAAGGCGGGAAAGAGCACGAAGACTCGCACACACCAGGAACGGACAAGGATTGCTTTCACCGCACTGGCACCGTGGATGTGGACGTTCCATTGGGCATTAAGATCACGAATTGCAGCGGTGAAGTTGTTCAATTCGGGGACGGCGACGTTCGCAAGTCTGGCAAAAATGCTCTGACGGTTCTGGCTCCGGGAGACCTGCCTAGGAACAGAGTCCTCCCTGTCGTCAGCATCGAACTTCTCGCCGGGCTGCAATAGGATGGCCAAGCTATCCTTCGCTATGCCGCTGCGATGAGCGTGGAGGGTCTTGATGCACCGGTTAACCACCGCCTCCGGCGCGTTGGGCAGAACCTCTGTGATGATCTGCAGGATGTTTTCCACACCAAAGCAGATACCTGCACACCAGAAGCACCAATCCTTGAGCTCGGCGAGCTGACGCAGACAACAGTTCCTGCGTGGTGTCGATTCCTGAACTTCCTCAGCCTCGGAGCCATCTTCCGGATCCTCTCCGCTAGTGCGGAAGAGCACGGGCTCGACCATTTCCCAAGGGATAGCTCGCCGCGTCCTCCTGTCCACGCAGACAGCGATAAGCAGCACGGTGAAGAACAAGAACGTGAAGACAAAGGCAGCGAGGGCTGGGGGCGAAGTCATCCAATGGCTTTCAAGGAGTCGCTCGAAGCCTCCCGGGGTGAGCATGTCCCATGCAGAGCTGCAGAGGACTGCCGACGCAACATTCTGCCAAACGGTGTTCAACACTGCGCTGAAGATGGAAAGGTGGACGGTTCGACAGGTGAGCTGGCCGGGAGTGTCGCGCGAGACGGTTCGAAGCCCCTTGGCACTCCAGGCACTTTGCTCTTCGTCCCAGAAGGCGCAGGAAGCATTCTCGTCGTTCGTCCGGAGCACGAACTCGATGGGCTCGGGAAGTCGATGCACGGGCACCACGGAACCATCGTCACGCCGTAGGCTGATGCTCAGCGTCTGTGCCGCAACCTCGGACCTGAGCTCACCCTCGTTCTTGGCGTCCATGAACTTCACGGCCGTCTCATCTTTCACAACCATGAAGGCGAGGAGCACTATGCCTGACGCGGTGGTGCCTTCAGCGCCTTCTGCCTGACGATCTGCATCCTGTGCCTGTGCAAGTACAGCGCTTGGCACGCGCACTTTGGCCACCGCTCCCAAAGACACTTCCACGCTTCTTTGCAGCGCCTGCGGAGCCACAGCGGTCACCTGCAAGGTTCCACTATCCGTTTGCATGGTCACATTTCCTAGGATTCCTGTAGTGGCATTGTCCCCTGTGACGGACCAGGTGTCCAGCAGCACTTGTGCGGCCTCCTTCTCTGCGGCCTCCACTGCCGCCGCGGCTGCTGCAGCCTCCTGTTTCCGCTGTAGCTCCGCTATCTGCTTGGCCAGCTCCTCTGCACCGGTGAGCGTTGTACTGCTCCTTGACACCGTCGTGGTGGATGTCGAAGTCCCTGTGGTGGACGTCGAGCTGATGCTGGAGCTGCTACTTGAGCTGCTGCTACTTGAGCTTCTGCTACTTGAGCTGCTGCTACTTGTGGTTGTGCTCCAGGATGTGCTGGATAACGTTGTTGACATTGAGCTGGTGGCCGTCGAAGACGATGTTGACGAGGAGATCGTCGTTGACGAGCTGCTTGTGCTGGTTTGGCTGCCCGTGCTGCTCGTCGTTGAGGTACTACTGCTAGAAGTGCTGCTGGTACTGGTGGTCGAACTGCTCGTTGTGGACGTGCTAGTACTCGCGCTGCTCGTCGCGGATGAGCTAGTGCTCGTGCTGCTCGTCGTCGACGTGCTAGAGGTAGTGCTGCTCGTCGTCGAGGTCGTAGTGGTCGTGCTACTAGAAGACGTGCTGCTAGTTGACGAGCTGGAGGTTGAAGTGGATGTGCTTGTGCTGGTCGAAGCTGTTGAGGTGGCTGTGAAAGATGAAGTGGTGCTGGCTGATGAACTGGAGGTTGAAGTAGATGTCCATGTTCTGGTCGAGGTTGTTGACATTGTTGTGGAAAATGAAGTGGTGCTGGTGCGTGTGACGGTCATTGTTTTGCTTGAGCTTGTACTGGATACCGTAGAGCTCACCGTTGAAGTGAGTGTCATGGTGACGCTCGTAGTTGTTGTCGGCAGTGTGCCCAGCGAGATCCTCGGGAGATTGTCACCCATGTCACTCGCCTCGTCCCCTTTTGTATCTGTGGTTTCTAGACCCAGAATGCCACCAAGTCCCCAGCACTTCACCGCGTCATCATTGAGGATGGCGCACGTGCTGTGTTCTCCTATGGCAACCGCCTTCGCTGTAATCCCGGATCCCAAGTTAATGGCCGGCAGATAGTCCCCCATCTGATTCGTCGTGTGTCCCCGGTTTTCCGAATCTCCATAGCCCAAGCGGGAGTCTGGGTTGTAGCCCCAACACTTCACTGAGTCATCGTCAAGGACAGCGCAGGTTCCTATATAACCTCCTGACAGCTGCTTGGCGGTGCGGCCGGCGCCTAGGTCCACTGCCGGCACGCCCGACACTGGGTATTGTGTTGTCCCGCGGGTCAGCGCATCACCATAACCACAGGGCCCGTAATATTCTGATCCATAACCCCAGCATCTCGCCGTGTCGTCATCCATGATCACACATGTGTGTTCATAGCCTACGCCCACGCCCAGGGACTTCACCGTTCTCCCGGACTCGAAGACGATGGCTGGCAAATAGTCTCCCATCTCGTTACTTCCATCGCCGATGTCGTTGTTGTGGCCCTGACCACACTGGTGACGGTTGTTGCGTCCCCAACACTTCATTGTCACGTCATCCAAGATGGCGCAGGCGTGGGTGTTCCCGCACTGCAGCTGAACCGCTGTCCTGCCAGTTCCCAGGTCAATCTCCGGAAGTCCATCTCCCATAGAGCTCTCTGTGGTGCCCCTTGTCGTGACGTCGCCTTGTCCAAGCTGTCCACAACAATTCCGTCCCCAGCACTTGACAGCACCGTTGTCAAGCAAAGCGTAGGCGAATTCTTGACCCGCGCACACACCGGTTGCCGTGCGACCGGTTCCCAAACTGATGGCAGGTAAGTTGTCACCAAGCTCGAAGTCGTCATCCCCGATGTTGGAATCGATGACGCCCATCGTGGCCAACACTGTATCTGGCTGGCCCGAGCGCCCATGATCACTGTGACCCAAGCACTTCACCATGCCGTTGTCCAGGACAATGCAATTGATGTGGTTACCGGTTGCGACAGCAATAGCTGTCCTACCTGTGCCTAGATCCACAGGTGGCAAATAATCCCCCATCTCGTTCGCTGCCTCCCCAATCGGCCCAGGAGAGCCGGCGCCACTCATTCCGTTGAAATTTTTTCCCCAGCATTTTAACGAAGAATCTTCGAGGATGGCGCACGTGTCCTCCCCATTGAGGGAAATCTGCGAAACAGGGTAGTTGCCAAACGCTGTCAAGACTTGGAGTCCCGAGAGCATCCATGATAGCGCAACCATGCCTAATCCGTCGTATGAAGGCCTCTGTACATTAAAACATTTCGGGCCCCGGATGCTAAATCAGCGTCCTTTGAGCTCGTGGTTTGCGCACATGCTGGCTTTTGTTATGAGGAAAAGCAGCAACAATGGCCACAGCCCTAGCCGCGGCAAGTCCAGCTTAGCCATAGCCGTTTAAACGACCAGAAACTGTTCGGCCCTTATTTGCCCAAGTACAGGTCATGCATGTCATGCAAGGCCAGAAATGATTCTAAGGCTCGCACCTCTAGTTGAGGGACAACAGCAGCTGCCTGGTCCTCACGATCCAGCCCATGTGCATAGAGCGGTAATCTTACAGTAGCAGTTGATGTCATTCCCCTCGCCGTGCTGGCCGTGGTGACGGTTAGCAGTTGCAGCAGCAGGAGTAGTAGTTGTAGTAGCCGCAGCAATGGGACTCTGTAGGACTATAGCAGTAGGACTTGTTGCGCCAAGTCTCAGCCTTGGCCTTGGCCATCGGCCCTGACGCCGACTCGGACGAATCCCACAAGGTGGATGCCTTCCGTGGCTTCAAGCACCATGCCCGAAGAGTAAGCGGTTACGAGGCTTGCGCTTTAGACTTCTCAAGCTTCGAAGCTCAAGTTATGTGTTTCCTAAGGCTGCTTGACTTCAAGGGGTACACTCGGGAAACAGATGCATGTCAGTGGATAACTCTCGCCTCCGTCTTCGACAGGCAGGCTGAACTTCCCCGTATTCCTCCCCATCAGTTCTGTGCCTTCTATGCGCGGCATCTTGTTGCCGCCCTTTTTCTTCTTGCTTCGAGCGTATCAATCACGCTTTCCCGGCGTGCGGCTGCTGCCACACTGGTGTGGAGCAGAATCAAGCCGTTAAGGTACGTGCTTCTCGGACGATCGCCCATCAGTTAGAATACCCAACTATCCAGATGCATCACTGGTTTTCGGACAAGGAGTCTTTTTTCTGCTTGCTCTGTGCTAGCAGGGGTCTGGTACATACATAGTACCGGCAACAATGCTGCAATTTCTGGTCTTGATCTTTCATGCCTTTCATGCCACGATTCGAAAGCAGGGCAGCACCGCTGCGCAGGTGACTTGGTGCCAAACTTGACAATGCCACGCTGCAAGATACAAATGAATGTTAAAATCAAAACTTGGTTCCAGCTACCGACACCCTAGCTTCGAACAGCCCGCGCATAGGACTGCACCACGCACTGTATTGCTGCCAACGGTGCAGACTGTACAGGGGCAAGGCACAAGAGGCTCTAAGAGGAGATCCCGCATCTCTTATTACTATAATTATAGTTAAAATTACTACTACTACTACTACTATTATTATCATTAGTATTAGGTCGAAGTACTACAAACAGGCTCCCCGACCTCGAGCCCCACTGCCCAACACTTTGTCTGTGCGCTTTTGCCTAAGATCTCGGGCTGGACGCCGATTCACCTGTGGCACCGGGCCAAGGCATAAACAGTTTAACGTCAACACACGCATGTCTGTCTGTGGGTCTGTCTCTGTCTGTCTCCATCTGTCTCTCTGGCTGGCTGGCTGGCTGGCTGGTTTGCTCTCTGTCCTTGTCTGTATGCATGCAATCTGCATGTATTTCTGTCCGTCTGGGCGCAGTAATGTAAATATCTGTCAGATTTATAAATACGCGTGTATATTATTATTATTGTTATTATTGTTATTATCATTATTATTGTTATTACTAGTACTATTACTATTATGCTATTACAATTACTATTGATATTGCTATTATTAATATTACTATTATTATTATTACTATTATTATTACTACTACTATTATTATTGT